TTGCTGCTCGTGAATTTAAGTTCTGGCCGACAGGGCCCCTTGCTGTTGGGGTACTCATCTAGGGTCTAATTCGTAAAGGCCCTTTTACTCTCGTCGGCCGAATTTCGAAGTCCTCTGAGAAACCCTTATCTGTCCACAATATTGAGACCTCTTCTTGCTCTTTCATAGTAAGATACTATGTTCGGTGCAGTTTCAATTAGCTCTTCCCTAGTAAACCAGCGGTCTTCACTTGGATCTTGATATGCAAATCTTACTTTATATTGCCGCTGAGGTCTACCTCTACGTCCAGTCTGGATGGTACTTTCAACAACGATCTTATCAACATCAAGTTTCCTATCCATGCTTGGAGGAATTGTTGACCTTCGACTGGGAAACAGTTCGTCAGTTACATGAGGTAAGAGATTCGATGCGTGGAACACCGGGTAGGTATGCAAGTGTGAAGGTATCTCAATAACGTAGGAGGGTCCATCTACATCCCCTATCACATCCAATACTTGCCACGGTCCTCTGTAGGCACGCAACAATTTCTGAGATATGTTTTCCTCTGGGATAAATTCCTTCAATTTTACCCAAACCAGATCACCTAGAGCAAACTGAGAAGGTCTCCTGTGCTTATTGGCTTGTTCAATCATTTGATGCTGCGATTTTATTATGTTCTCTTTTACCTTTCTGATATTGCACTGCGAACTCTCTGGTCCTGACGGAAGTTTATGTGCTCTATCCGGGTTTAGACAGTCTATAGGTCTGCGAGGACTCCATCCCAAATGTAACTCCATCGGAGTTTTGCAAGTAGACAAGTGCACAAAGTTATTATTGGCACTAGCAACTTTGCGCAAATGTTCATCCCAATCAATCTGATCGGGACGAATGTACATACGCAGTGTCTGCTGCAAAATCTTGTTCATTTGCTCAGTCTGCCCATTTGTCTCAGGGTGTCGGCTTGACGACATTGTCAGCTTAGAGCCATAAACACTCATTAGTTGCTGCCAATGTTCGCTGGTGAACCAAGAGTCACTGTCACTAACAATAGTCAAGGGATGACCGTAGTCCTTTACCCAGTGGTTAAAGAATTCTCGAATTACTAAGTCAGTTTTAGCTTCCACAGGCAATGCAACAAAAACAACAAATCTATCAACAATTACTAGAACTTGTTTTTTTCCATTCTTGCTTTTCAACTTTGTGTCCATAAAATCGAAAGACACAGAGTTTCCAGGACATATTGGGAGAGGCAAAGGTTTCAATAAACCAAGGGGAGGCTGTGTGGTGCTTTTGTTCCGTTGGCACACTTGACAACCTTGCACATACGCAATACAATCAGGCTTCATTCGAGGCCAGGTGTAAAAACGCAAGAGATTAGCGTAAGTTTTCCTCCATCCGAAATGACCTTCGGTATCATGGCATTCCCCTAAGATTACACTTTTGATCTCTTCCTTGTTTGGGATACAAAGCCTATCATGCACATCAGTTCTTTCAAACAACAGTCCTTGGGTTACCCGATAGTTAGGAAATATTGTGGTGCTTCTTGAGCACGTTTCAACATAGCGCCATAAACAGGATCAGTGGAATAAGCATTCCTAATCTTATGTTGTAAATCGGTGTCTATGTCTAAATACGTTACAATAGTACCGAAGAAATCAGATCTTCGACTTAATGCATTAGCAACAACGTTATACTTACCCTTTACTGGCTTTAGCTCAAAATCATACTGATTGATTTTCGCAGCCCACCTAGTCAGTTTAGGTGTCATCCGGGTCTGCGTCTTTAGCCAGCGAAGTGTCTCATGGTCTGAGTACACTTTGAAGTGGCCACCTAGGAGATAATGACACCAATGATCCAAAGCTTCCCGGAGTGCGTATAGCTCTCTTTCATGCGTGGAAGTGGCGACTTTCTCACCAGGCAGTCGGCGGGACATAAATTCGACAGGCCTGTATCCATTCCCATCATCTTGCTGGAGTACAGCGCCTATCTCGTACTGACTGGCGTCAGTAGTAACAACAAAGGGCAAAGAAGGATCATCAACTTTTAAAACCGGATAGTTAATCAAACATTTCTTAAGACGCTTAAACGAGGACGTACAATCTTGGCACCACTTCCAAATAGTTTCCTTTTTCTGTAATATGTGAAGGGGAGCAACAATTATCGTAAAGTGCCTTACGAACTCACGGTAGTAATTAGCCAACCCAAGGAACGACCGTAGTTTCGTCAATGTACGCGGGTTGGGCCAATCCAGAATACTTGCAATCTTTGCATTTTCCGGTTTAATTCCATCTCCGTTTATAACATGCCCAAAATATAACACCTGACGCTTTGCCCACTCACACTTCTTCGGGTTTAGTTTCAGTTTTGCCTCACGCAACTTATTTAGCACAAGTCGAAGCTGCTCTGTGGCATACTGCGTAGCCACACCGGCCTGCAGAGCCCGTCCCGCATTCTCAGCCTAAAAGCCTAGAAATAAGGGCTTACAGGCCCCATGTCGTTTCAACCTGAAAACTGAAAACGAGGGCCTGCAGGCCCTATTTCGTTTTCAGCCTAAAACAGGGTTTTTAAGCCCTGAGGCTTTTCAGCCTGAAATGGAGGGCCACTTTCAGACCCTCATAAGATCAACCTACCCTAACACTCCGGCACAAAATCAGGGTTTCCGGAACAGGCTATTTCTGGCCTGTTCCCACGACAGCCTCAAGCAGGAGCTGCAGCGGCAGCCCCTGACTCCCTTCGGCATTGGCAAGAGCAGCCTCCTGGACTGCCTCGCCATGCAGTCAGGAGGCAGGCCGAGAAGTACATAGGGAGTTCCCATGCACTTCACAGGTAGGTAGTTGGACAGAAGGCAGGAATAGTCTTCAGGATTCGGCCGCAGCACTCAGGAGGAGCGCTGCAGGAGTAGCTTAGCGCTAGCAGTAGTCTTCAGCGTTGGGCGCTAGTAGCCATAGCAGTAGTCTTCAGCACTGGGCGCTWGTAGGTGGTAGTAGTAGTGTTAGGGAGAGATGGCTGGCGGAGGCCAGTGAGACTTACCTGTGGCGCCATAGCTCCAGCTCCATCTTCGAGGTATCTGCATCAAGGCGCCAACTTCACAGGTTAGTACCGGACTGAGAGAGAGAGAGAGAGTTCTTCTTCTTCCTCTTCTAAGTCCACCATCTCTTCTTCCCCTCTCACCACCTGACTTCTCAGTATCAGCGGACTACTACAGAGAGAGAGAGTTGTGACTTGAGACTTGCCGACATTGGATCCAGACTCGACATTGGGATTCAGACATTTTGCCGAGGGACTATTTGGGCCTGTGTCGAAGACTTAGTGTTGACGACATTCCCATCTTCCCCTCTTCCTCGTCTAACCCCCCTCTTCTTCGTCTGTGTATGGTTGGGGCTGGCGCATTCTTCCTGTGTGAGAGCCAGACCCCTTCACACCATGGAATGATGATGATGATGTATGTTCGGGGCTGCATTGCAATATTGATTGTTCGGATCATTGGCATCTAAGTTTTCCGCTGCCCTATCTTGTACTTTGTTAGAGAGGTCGGTTCTTGTTTTGGTCTGCACCTTTACAGTATGCAACAATTTGGTATCGGATCGGACCTCTCATTCAGAGGACCCGCTCAATCAAGTAGCCAGCTTGCTTGATCTATTGATCACTCATTAGTAAATCAAGTAGGACTTCGTCAAATCTCTGGAAAAAAAATTCTCGCAACAAATATCTGAAAATTTCTGATAATCGCATTTCGTTTTACCTGAAAATTTCTGATATTAGTATTTCGTTTTCACGCAACAAATATCTGAAAATTTCAGATAATCGCATTTCGTTTTACCTGAAAATTTCTGATATTAGTATTTTGTTTTCATGCAACAAATATCTGAAATTTCTGATAATAGCATTTCGTTTAATCTGAAAATTCCTGATAATAGCATTTCGTTTCTCTGATATTTCGCATACATAGCTGAAAATTTCTGAGGTTAACATTTTGTTTTCTAGGCATATTAGGATAACGATAGAAGTGATAATATTCTTAGAAACCGGATTTATTCTTTTCTGAAAATTGAATTTTCTTTCTATCTCGCAATTTTTTTTTGAAAACCGAAATCTTGCGAAGCCTACCAACATTTCTTTAGGCATATTCGGAGGTTGCCATATTCTCAGAAACTAGATTTAGTTCTTTTCTGAAAATCGCACCTCTACTCTATTTCGCAAATTTTTTAATTGTTTTTCAAGATCGCATTTTGTGAAAGCCGAAACTTTGCGGAACCTAGCCTGGATCTCGCTCATAGTACTCTTCTGACATGTCTCACTCATAACAGATCGACAGATATAAAAATAAAAATAAAAAATGGGAAGTAGTCCTTTTTTTTTTTTTTTTTATCTGTTGATTAGGGTCGGGAGGAAAGTATTGTTGGGTTGGTTCCCTACCTGCGTTTTCCCTCCCACCCACCCTTTGCATGCATTTCCGGGTTGGTACAATGCCACGTCAGCAGTGCCACGTCAGCAACAGTGCCACGTCAGCAACAGTACCACGTCAGCAGTGCCACGTCAGCAAACAGTGCCACAGTGCCACGTCCGCAGTGCCCCGCCACCATGACGAGCTCAGTTCTGGGCATGCCAGGCCAACTGGCAAATGAGTCCATTGCCGAGTACCGACAACGTTTCGAAACTCAGCTTGCACTAATCGCGGTTGAGGAACAGCGGCAACTGGCAGCCGAGGCTGTCTGCCTACAGGCTGAAGCGGCGGCAACAGCTGAGAAGCAGCGGCTTCAGGCCGAAGCAGACGCAGATACCCAGGCACGCCGCAAGGAAGCCCGAGATCTGCTACAGCGGCATGAAGCCACTAGCATCGAAAAGCTCAAGTTTTGGCACTTTGAACCATCCGAGGGCCACGACGACGCAACACCGGAGGAGCAATACAAGGAATTCATGGCCAAGCTCGTGACCCGGTTGGTCTACACTTGTAACCACCTGCAGTCCGAGCTGGCGAACCTCCAGCGGGCCGTACGGAACCACAAGGCTCACCACGAGGATGTAACAGGGGCACTTGATTCCTGTGTACAGGACTTGGAGCAAACTGCACCAAGACCGGAGGCTGGCGAGTCCAGCAGTGCACCCTCTGCCCGCCAACTGGAGGAACGCGTCGATCACGTAGTGGCAATGCTAGGTGATATTAGCACCTTCGCAGCGCCAGCCACCATCAGCCAGCAGCTGGACACACTGAAGACCGAGATCAGGCAGCGACAACAGCCGTCTGACCTCGATCGCAGCACCAGCACGGCGAAGCATTACAAAATGCCAACGTTCCGGATCGAGAAGTTTGATGATTACACACATCAAGACCCAGTCGTCTGGTGGCAAGGATTCACAACGGAGTTGGGGATTCATGAGGTCCCCGAACATCTGTTCATCGGCGCACTGTTCCTTAACACCAAGGGAGGATGCCAGATATGGCTCAGCCATATGGCAACCGTCCACGGCGTTCAGGTCTTCGACCTACACAAGAAGGTCTCCTGGGAGGATCTGACAAAAGAATGGAAGAAACGGTTCATTGTGGACGACGCCCGACGCTCGCCATCAACCGCATCTTCACGATGGCTCAAGGAAACACAGCGACGCGTGATTGGCTCACGGATTGACAGAAGATCGTGGCGACGCCCGATCTGGATTTGCGCCGGGAGTTCTACAACCGGTCATGCGCCGCTTTGAGCCTCGCGCTTGGTGATCGCGAGTAGTACAACACCTTCGCCGAAATCATCAACAAGGCGAGGGAGATCATCAAGACAAACAGGGCCGCTACACACAAGAAGTCAACGTGGCAGCCAACCTATGTGGAGAAGGTGAGAACTGGTCCACGGCCGCAGCATGTCGCTGCGGTCCAAACGGACAACATTGTGGAAGACCCGGCAGCCACCCAAGCGTCACGTGAGGGAGATCAGGTGGCTGCTGTCCAGCCGCGAAGCAACAACAAAGTCCCGAGGAAACGGGAAGGCGAAAACCCCATCGCCGGCCAGAAACGGACAGCCAGCACCATGGGTCAAGTTTCACTTGACCGAGGCGGAATACAAGTGACGCGGCCGCTACGGCTGCTGCTATTGGTGCAACAGCACCAAGCACAAGACCTCCCAATGCCCGGATCAAGGCAAGGAGGATGTTCGGCCTCGTATCAACTCCGGAAACTGAGTTCCGCGGGAGGTGAGGCGACTCCACCTCTCACTCCGCCAGATTCGGCCGCCTTGCTAGCGGCATCCTACACATCTGGGGAGGATGCGAATGTCGCAAGTTCTCGGTACACTTACGAGGACTATGCTGTCCACTTGGTCCCACCGTTGGACCAACCGCTCCACGTGCAACAATCTACCGCATGCACGGTTTCACTACCATCGACAACCGAGTCGGCAGCTTCGCCGCCATCTATCGTCGGGGATTCGACGACATGATCAAGACTTGAAGAGCTCGACCCGTTGACGTTTGCGGACTTCCAATGGATGCCCCTTCCCCGGTCTGGTCGATTGCCGAAACCGCATTGCAACGTGCTCATGGCACAATTGCGGGATTACTTGCACACTGCAGTACCAACTCCGTTGATGGACGCCAGAGTAGAGGTTGTTGACCTTCACGCCTACATTGCGAAAATCGACCGCGAGTTCAAGACACAACGATACGACGACATCGACGCACCATTGTTATTTGTACGCATTCAGATCGGAGAGGCGACCTGCAGCACTTTGATCGATTGCGGAGCATCTCGCAACTACATGAGCCAGGACTTTATCGTACGTGCCGGCCTTGGCCCACGCGTCCGGAGGAAGTCCCAGCCTACGCAAGTCACGTTGGCGGACGGTCACATGCACAAGTCAATAGACCGGTGCATAGACGACGTCCCCGTGTACTTTGCCCCGCATGCAAGCGAGGCGGTGTCCTTCGATATTTTGGACACCAAATTCGGCATGATCTTGCACATGTCATGGCTGCGAAGCGAGGATCACCCGGTGAACTTCTACCGCCGCACCGTTCACGTTCGTGATCGGAACGGAGTACTAGTCCCATGCACGGTGCCTCCTCCTCACCCTTCGATCAGCTGCCACGTGGTGTCCGCCGCAAGCATGCGAGCTTCCATCATCAGAGACGACATCGAGGAGATGGGGGTGTGTTTTCTCCACGCCCTCCCACCCCATGACGCTTCATCGACGGACTCATCTTCGGACCCACGCATCACCGAGCTTCTCGACGCCTACGGCGACGTGTTCGAAGGCCCGCACGGAGTCGTACCGGATCG